GTGCACATAGCCTGGCACAAGCGTCGTGGTGACGTCACCGCCACTTAGTGACGAATGGCGGTTGTTGTGTTTGTGTGTCTGTGTGTGTGTTTGTGTATGTGTCTGTGTGTGTGTGCACCTAGCCTGGCACTGGAGTGCCTATGCGTGTGTCTATGTGTGTGTCTGTATCTGTGTCTCTCTCCTCTGTCTCTCTCTCCCCCGACGTCTCTCTGTGTCTGTGTCTGCGTGCCTGCTCGCTCCGTTTCCTCCATCTCCATCATCTCCATCGCCTCCTCAATCTCCTCAATCTCCTCCATCTCCATCATCTCCTCAATCTCCTCCATCTCCATCATCTCCTCCTCAATCTCCTCCATCTCCATCATCTCCTCAATCTCCATCATCGCCTCCTCAATCTCCATCTCCTCCTCTATCTCCTCCTCAATCTCTGCCATCTCCATCATCTCCATCTCCTCCATTTCCATCGTCTCCATCTCCTCCTCTATCTCCATCATCTCCATCTCCTCCTCAATCTCCTCCATCTCCATCATCTCCTCCTCCATCTCCATCATCTCTTCCTCCATCTCCAATCTCCTCCTGAATCTCCTCCATCTCCATCATCTCCTCCTCCATCTCCAATCTCCTCCATCTCCATCATCTCCTCCTCAATCTCCTCCATCTCCATCATCTCCTCCTCCATCTCCAATCTCCTCCTCCATCTCCATCATCTCCATCTCCTCCTGAATCTCCTCCATATCCATCATCTCCTCCTCCATCTCCAATCTCCTACGTGGGAGACCTCCCCCTCCTGCAGCGCTGTCCCAGGTGAAGGAGCTTCCCTTCCAGCTGCAGCTGAGCTTCACGCCCATCCGTTGTCACGGCGGCAGCGGCGGTTGCTACGACAACGCGTCGGCGGCGACGACGACGACGCGGGTGGTCACGCGGTCCGTCCCGGTGACCGACTCGCGGCCCCTGGCGGAGGCCACGGCGCGGGGCCCGGTGCTGGCGGCCCACGCGGCCCGCCTGGGCGCGCGCCTGGCCCTGCAGGGCCGCCTCGGAGACGCGGCGGCCCTCGCCGGGGCCAACGAGCGCCTGCTGCGGCGGCTGGCGAGGCGAGGGGCTCACGCGCACACACGCACGCACGTGTACACACACACACACGTGTACACACACACACACGTGTACACACACACACACACACGTGTGCACACACACACACGTGTGTACACACGCGGCCGCACGCACGCACGTGTACACACGCACACACGTGTACACACACACACACGTGTACACACACACACACGTGTGCACACACACACACGCACGTGTGCACACACGCGGACGCACGCACGCACGTGTACACACGCACGCGTACACACGCACGCGTACACACGCACGCGTACACACTTACACATGTGTACATGGACACACGTGTACTCACGCCCATGCACACATGCGTACGCATGTACACACGTACGCGTGTACGCATGTGAGCATGTACACAAGGTTGTGTACACGTGTGTACATGTACATGCACGTGAGTGTTTGCACACATTAGTGTACACAACTCGTACATGTACATGCGTCCGTACACATCTAAACAAGGACACACGTAAACACGCGTACGTAAATACACACACGCATGTACGTACACACGCGTTCACACACGTATACACACCGCTACCACCACGAGGGGTGTGTGTCTGCTCTGTGACTGACCCCTTTCTCTTTAGGCCCCTCCACTTCCTGTTGCTGGTGCTCCACTTCCTGTTTAGGCCCCTTCACTTCCTGTTGCTGGTGCTCCACTTCCTGTTTAGGCCCCACCACTTCCTGTTTCTGGTGCTCCACTTCCTGTTTAGGCCCCGCCACTTCCTGTTACTGGTGCTCCACTTCCTGTTTAGGCCCCTCCACTTCCTGTTGCTGGTGCTCCACTTCCTGTTTAGGCCCTGCCACTTCCTGTTGCTGGTGCTCCACTTCCTGTTAAGGCCCCTCCACTTCCTGTTGCTGGTGCTCCACTTCCTGTTAAGGCCCCTCCACTTCCTGTTGCTGGTGCTCCACTTCCTGTTTAGGCCCCGCCACTTCCTGTTGCTGGTGCTCCACTTCCTGTTTAGGCCCCGCCACTTTTAGAGGCCACACAACGTCCTCTTTATGCCGTGCCCCTTTCGCCTCCGGCATGGGGAGAATGGCTGTTGATGACCATCTGTCTGTGCCACCCCTTGTACGTGTCTCCCGTTCTGTGTCTGTCTCTGTGCGGCTATCTGCCTGTCTTTGTGTGTGTCTGTTTTAATAATAGAGGTTTTTTTGGGTTAGATCGCGTAAATATATAAATGTTGTGTCGTTAAAACCCGCCAGCACCTGACACAGACAACTAGTAAGGGTTGTCGCGTAAGCAGAACGTGACAATTCGTCACTAGTACAGCGCACCGGTGTGTTGGAGAGCCAAGCCACAACATTTACAATCTGAGTACGACGTTTCGCCATGCGAGCCCTTTGATCTTGTTTATATATTTACGCGATCTAACCCAATAAAACTCTTCTGGATGGTATTGGTCGTGAAAGCCTGCTACGTGTGTCTGTGTTTGCCTGACCCCACACCCTCGCCTACCCACTCATCATGATACTGCTGCTGCTGCTCCTGAAAATGTTGCTGTCGATACTGATGATGCTCATACTAATGATGGTTGTGATATTGCCGCTGGTGATACTGATGATGCTAGCTCTGATGATGATACTGATGATGCCGATGCTGCTGATGATGGTTTCAGTGGGGGAGGCAGTGAGGCTGAAGATATGTACCAGGACTGGATGGAGACAATGAGCCCCATATACGGAGAGATCAGCCGCGGAAACGACATGGTGACTCACCTACCTACTCACCTACCCACCTATCTACTCACCCACCTACTCACCTACCTACTCACCAACTCGCCAACCACCTCACCCACCCACCTACTCATGCACTTCCCCACTCACGTACTTGCCTTCTTACTCACCCAACTACTCACCCACCTACTCACCCACCTACTCACCCAACTACTCAACCACCTACTCACCTACCTACTCACCTACCTACTCACCCACCTACTCACCCAACTTCTCACCCAACTACTCACCCACCTACTCACCCACCTACTCACCCAACTACTCAACCACCTACTCACCGACCTACTCACCTACCTACTCACCCACATACTCACCCACCTACTCACCCACCTACTCACCCACCTACTCACACAACTACTCAACCACCTACTCACCTACCTACGCACCTACCTACTCACCCACCTACTTACCCACCTACTCACCCAACTTCTCACCCACCTACTGACCCAACTACTCAACCACCTACTCACCTATCTACTCACCTACCTACTCACCCACCTACTCACCCACCTACTCACCCAACTACTCACCCACCTACTCACCTACCTACTCACCCAACTACTCACCCACCTACTCACCCTTCTACTTACCCACCTACTCACCCAACTACTCACCCACCTACTCACCTACCTACTCACCCAACTACTCACCCACCTACTCACCCAACTACTCACCCACCTACTCACCCAACTACTGACCTACCTACTTATCTACCTACTCACCCAACTACTCACCCAACTACTCACCCAACTACTCAACCACCTACTCACCCACCTACTCACCCAACTACTCACCCACCTACTTACCCACCTACTCACCCAACAACTGACCTACCTACTCACCTACCTACTCACCCAACTACTCACCCAACTACTCACCCAACTACTCAACCACCTACTCACCCACCTACTCACCCACCTACTCACCCAACTTCTGACCTACCTACACACCTACCTACTCACCTACCGACTCACCTACATTACCTACTCACCTACGTACTCACCCACTCACCTTCTAATTCACTCACTCCCACTATGTTACGTGTCCATGCCACGTTGAAATTGTGTTGTGTTGTTGTTTTGCCCAGTCACGTGCTGCTGTTGTTTTACCAGAACTCGAACGATGGCAGTGGATATGGAGCGGTAAATCTCAAACCAGACAAAGCCAGCAAGGTAAGGACCCATGCAGACAAAGATCCCCGTGTAGCCTGTAATAGACTGTTGGGGCAAGTGCTGTTGGCGTGTAGCAGCACCTGTGAAGGCCGGCAAGGCACACGAGGGGGTGGGTGGCCAGCACCTTTCCCAGCCGCTTTTGGCTCCCCAGTGGCGATGTTTAGACACCGCACCAGGTACTCATTTGAGGCTGAGTCAACCTAGGGGCGGCTCAGAACCAATTCGAATAATCACTATCACCCATTTGCCCATTCACTCACTCTCCCGTTCACCCATTCACCCACTTGCCCATTCACCCACTTGCTCACCCACTCAAGCGCTCACTCTTCCATTAACCCACCCACTCACTAATCCACCTATCCATTCTTCCACCCAGTGACCCATTCACCCACTCACCCATTCACCCAGTCACCCACTCACCCACTGACTGAGTCACTCGCCCATTCAACCACCCGCTCACCCACCCACTAAACCACACAGGCACAGCTGTTCCGCTAGCACCACTGCCCCCAACGGACTACGTGGGCTACCTGTGTCTTTTCCTCCTCCTCCCCCTCCTGGGCAGTTCTTCAAGACGTGCTCGGACGAGGTGGCGGGTGCAGTGTTCCGCCTCAAGAAAGTGGGAGGCCGCGTGTTCCATCGCAAAAAGGGTGAAGAGTGAAACCCACAGATGACTCACGGCTCACCCGCCCGCTCGCCTCTGCACTCACCGGCTCGCTCGCTTACTCACTCACCGGCTCGCTCGCTCATCCACCCGCCCACACGTTCATCCTCTCGCTCACTCGCTCAACAAAGAATAACAACAGCCGCCATTCGCCACTAAGTGATGGTGACATCACCACGGTGCCTGAGCCAGGCCCAGGTGCACTTGAAGGTCACGTGAAGTGTCGAAGGCTCGCTGACGGGAGGTCACGGGACCGACCCAGGTGCCATGGGTAGACTGAGGTGACTGACAGATGCACCACCCATAGCCCCTACTACGTCAACTTGCTGTATTTTAGCCACCTGCCACTCTGTTCATTGTTGTGAGCATCGCCCCTCTGCCCTTCGTTATTGCTGGAGGGCGACTGCCTCCAACTGCCCAGTAGCTAACTTCACGAGCCTCCTCCATACAGAGGTCGATCTTGTCACCGCTGGTACCAGTTGTAGGAAATTCCACTCAGCTTTATTTCCTCCTTGACTCCATGAGTCCATCTCTCCTCCAGCCCATGCGGTGGCTGGGCATGCAGGCTACGTGACCCAGCCAACGCAGCATTGCCTTCTGGAGGAGCTCACCAATTGGACTGTGTCCAGATCTTTTGAGGATTTGTGAGCTCCTCACACAATTCAGCCTAGTTAAACCCAGGATGGATCGTAGTCAGGCCAGCCCAAATGTTTCTCACTAACAAAGATGTTCCATTAAAGGCATCCACATTTCATAAGCATAGAGTATGACTGTGGCCAAGAAGACCTGAACCTCAAGAAGACCTGAACCTTCAGGTCTTCTGAAGGATCAGGTCCTGAACCTTCAGGTCTCCTGATGAAGAGATAATGCTGCCTGACACAAAGTGAGACCTCTGCTGTCAAACCGGAGCCAGTCATGAGCACACTTCCCAGGTCTGGAAAACTCTCCACTCTCTCCACAACTGCTCCATTACCAATGGGGAGTTGAGGGGGTGGAGTGTTTGATAGCACAAAATACCCAGGCAGGTGCTTAGGGGAGCCATCCCTTGGCTGCACCCAGGCATCAATTACCCTCACATTGCATCAGTACTAGATGAGAATTCACGTGATACAATCATCGGAAGCTTCTTGAGCTACATGGTCAAACATGATGTTAAATAATGTGGGAGCCAGAGGACATCCCTGTTGCACCCCGAGGTGAACAGGGAATGGCTCTAAATCCTGGCCACGTAGTTTTACCCGGGCCTGCCCACCATCATGAAGGTCCTTAATGATCGTGAGCGGAGAATCAGGCCTACTGATGGTATCATAGGCCTTGACCAGGTCAATAACGCAGAGATGTAGATCATGTTGGAATTCCCTACACCTCTGCTGTAGGAGACGGACAGAAAATATGGCATCTGTGCAGGACCGCCCTTTCCTGAAACCGCATTGAGGCTCCGCAAGCCTCTCCTCAGCGTGCCTGGCAAGGCGATGTTGAATAATCCTTGCCAGGACCTTTCCTGGCACACTGAGGAGTGAGATGCCCCTGTAGTGGTTACAATGAGTTTGGTCCACATTCTTAAAGAGGGGGACCACCATGGCATCGTTAAAATTCTGCAAAACCCGTCCTGTGCTCCAGACAGTGGTAATGATGTCACGTAGGGCAGTCTGCACAGATGCCTCCCTCCCTCAGCATTTCGCTTGGGAGATCGTCTCTGCCTGTCGCCTTTCCTGGTCTCAGACTCCAGACCACCCCTCAAACTCCCTCTACAGATGGCACCTCAGCCAGTCTCTCAGAAAGGGTGGCTACTTCTGCCAATATTTGAGGTACCACCGCCCTAGCAGGGTCGTCCCCACCTTGCCCCACGATGTTGTCTGGGCTGAGGGAATTCCCGTCTCCTAAGACCTCATAGAAATGTTCTGACACCTGCTGACCTGTTTCCTGGGGGTCGGAGATTGTATCACCTTTATTTTCCTTAAGGATGCTGATATGTGAGGCACTGCAAGTTACTTTTTTTGATGGAATGATTGAGCGATTTGTGATTGCGGGCTACTGAGGCAGATTCCATCTCCATAATAGAGGTTTTTGGGTTAGATCGTGTAAATATAAATGTGTGTTAAACCCGCCACCACCCAACACAGCCAATTAGTAAGGTTTGTCACGTAAACAACGTGCCAATTCGTTCCTAGTGTAATGACGACTTGGACCCACTTGTCTTGAGAGGGTTTATTTTATTAAGGATCCACCTGCTCGCACTCGGACAGGCGGAGACCCCCACTGCAACAGCCCCGAGTCTCCCACGCATCTCCCTTTACATTCGTTCCGAGGCCACGCCCCCATTCCCGAACCTTCTCGCTGGTTCTAGACGCTCGCTCCACCAGCTGACTCCATCGTCTTCTTCCGTCATCTGGCCACGCTCCGATTCTCGATCATTCCCGCAGCCACCAGTCCACTCACACCGTAGGCTGACTCCCCTGTCATTACCTCTCGTGGCCACGTGTCCATTCACACCGTAGGCTGACTCCCGTCATTACCTCCCGTGGCCACGTGTCCACTCACACCGTAGGCTGACTCCCCTGTCATTACCTGCTGTGGCCACGTGTCCACTCACACCGTAGGCTGACTCCCCTGTCATTACCTCCCGTGGCCACCAGTCCACTCACACCATAGGCTGACTCCCCTGTCATTACCTCCCGTGGCCACCAGTCCACTCACACTGCAGGCTGACTCCCCTGTCATTACCTCCCGTGGCCACCGGTCCATTCATACTACAGACTGACTCCTCTGTCATTACTGTACCACTTACCGCCTATACCACACACATACAGCCTACACCACACACACACAGCCTACACCACACAGCCACCTGGGTGAGCTGTCATCAGCCACCTGGGTGAGCTGTCATCAGCCACCTGGGTGAGCTGTCATCAGTCACCTGGGTGAGCTGTCATCAGCCACCTGGGTGAGCTGTCATCAGCCACCTGGGTGAGCTGTCATCAGTCACCTGGGTGAGCTGTCATCAGTCACCTGGGTGAGCTGTCATCAGTCACCTGGGTGAGCTGTCATCAGGCACCTGAATGAGCTGTCATCAGCCACCTGGGTGAGCTGTCATCAGTCACCTGGGTGAGCTGTCATCAGCCACCTGGGTGAGCTGTCATCAGTCACCTGGGTGAGCTGCTATCAGTCACCTGGGTGAGCTGCTATCAGCCACCTGGGTGAGCTGTCATCAGCCACCTGGGTGAGCTGTCATCAGCCACCTGGGTGAGCTGTCATCAGCTACCTGGGTGAGCTGTCATCAGCCACCTGGGTGAGCTGTCATCAGTCACCTGGGTGAGCTGTCATCAGTCACCTGGGTGAGCTGTCATCAGTCACCTGGGTGAGCTGTCATCAGCCACCTGGGTGAGCTGTCATCAGCCACCTGGGTGAGCTGCTATCAGTCACCTGGGTGAGCTGTCATCAGCCACCTGGGTGAGCTGTCATCAGTCACCTGGGTGAGCTGTCATCAGCCACCTGGGTGAGCTGTCATCAGCCACCTGGGTGAGCTGTCATCAGCCACCTGGGTGAGCTGTCATCAGCCACCTGGGTGAGCTGTCATCAGTCACCTGGGTGAGCTGTCATCAGTCACCTGGGTGAGCTGTCATCAGTCACCTGGGTGAGCTGCTATCAGCCACCTGGGTGAGCTGTCATCAGCCACCTGGGTGAGCTGATGTCAGTCACCTGGGTGAGCTGTCATCAGCCACCTGGGTGAGCTGTCATCAGTCACCTGGGTGAGCTGTCATCAGTCACCTGGGTGAGCTGTCATCAGCCACCTGGGTGAGCTGTCATCAGTCACCTGGGTGAGCTGTCATCAGCCACCTGGGTGAGCTGTCATCAGTCACCTGGGTGAGCTGTCATCAGTCACCTGGGTGAGCTGTCATCAGCCACCTGGGTGAGCTGTCATCAGTCACCTGGGTGAGCTGTCATCAGCCACCTGGGTGAGCTGTCATCAGTCACCTGGGTGAGCTGTCATCAGCCACCTGGGTGAGCTGTCATCAGTCACCTGGGTGAGCTGTCATCAGTCACCTGGGTGAGCTGTCATCAGCCACCTGGGTGAGCTGTCATCAGCCACCTGGGTGAGCTGATGGCAGCCACCTGGGTGAGCTGTCATCAGTCACCTGGGTGAGCTGTCATCAGCCACCTGGGTGAGCTGTCATCAGTCACCTGGGTGAGCTGATGGCAGCCACCTGGGTGAGCTGTCATCAGTCACCTGGGTGAGCTGTCATCAGCCACCTGGGTGAGCTGATGGCAGCCACCTGGGTGAGCTGTCATCAGTCACCTGGGTGAGCTGATGGCAGCCAGTGGGGAGTGGGGGGGGCAGCACGACGATGATGACGTCGATGATGACGTCGATGATGACGTCGATGATGACGTCGATGATGACGACAATGATATAACGATGATGACATGATGATATGATGGTGACGACGATGACGACGATGATATGATGATGATGGGGTGTTTTTAGTTTAACACCTAGCAGGAGGAGGAGGCTTTCACCATCAATAGCATCCACAATCTTGTTGTTTTGGGTTAGATCGCGTACATTTTAATCTTTATACGTAATCATGTAAATATTGATGAATATTTAGATATTATAAATATATAGAATTGTTTATATATAAATGTTAATATATAAACGTGTATATATGTTAATATTTATATATAAATGTTTATATATAAATGTTAATATTTATATATAAATATAAAAATGTATATATAAACGTGTATATATAAGTGTTAATATTTATATATAAACGTTTATATATAAATGCTTATATATAAATGTTAATATTTTAATATAAATGTTTAAATCAAGGCCGTAGCCATGGAGTCAACATTGGGGGGGACCCAAATCTTCCAGGGGGTCTGGGGGGGTCTCCCCCGGGGGGGGGTCTGGGGGGGTTTTCCCCCCCCAGAAAAAAAATTAAATTTGAAAACGAATTTCCTGCCTAAAATATTAAGAAATTCAGTAACACACGGGATTGACTTTATATGTATTTTAACAATAATGCCTAATAGTGTATATTGTATTACATTCCTCTGTTTTTACTTTGTTTACCTTTTATTGTATCATTGTAATGGCAGAGATTAGGGATTAATAAAGTACAACCATAACCACAACCATACAAACATACTTCTATTTTATAGCAATTTATTGTGGGGGACATTTTGAGCATATTTGAATATTGGGGGTATCTGTCCCCCCCTATATATATATACAATTACGGCCTTGGTTTATATTGACGCGATCTCACCCGAGCAGCAGCCGACCGACACGCCTGGG